GACGCAGGGTCGCTGGGAGTCCGTTTCCTCTGGCTGGGACTGGGCGCAGCCTCAGAAGCGACGGGCAGCGGTGACGGCGTACGGGCGGCGGCTGCGCCGTGCTTGCTGTGTATCCATGACACCTTGGGCTTGGTGGCAGGGTCGGGCGGCGGCGGCTTCCTGCGCTCTGGCGATGGCGACAGCGAGAGACCCCCCGCCTCCCCCCAAGCCCGGGCCGGTCGGGCCTCGCGCCGGGCCACACGGGCATACAGCGCTCCGCCGGGCCCCTCCACGCTAGACGCCGAGCGCTCGCTGTCTGAAGACACCGGGAAGGGTGCCGCTTCCTCCGTGGGTGCCTGAGTGGTCAGCGGTGCAGGGGGTAACACCAGCCCCTCTGCAGGGGCAGCTGGGGCCTCCGCATCCCGGCTCTCGGCCGCTGCCTCTGCCAAAGGCACAACCACATGGAATCCCTCTGGCCTGTCCAGCCTCTGGACACTGGCTCCCACCTGCCATCCTTCCTATCATCTCCATCCCACTGGGTGCTCTGACCAGCTCTGGCATTCACAACTCAACCATAAACCGACTTTACAACTCCTGGGTGTGGGGCCACACAGAGGGGCACCCGGTCATTGCATCTGCCCTGCCCCACGCCCCAGGCCTAGGGAATCACCATTTAATTCAACCTTCCACCTCAAAGGAAATTCCATTCATCTTGAAGGGTTAGAAGTTCGACCCCTGTCGCAGGTCCCACATGGAATGATTTGGAGAGCCAATGCTCCCTCCTGCTGTCCTTTGGATCTCTCGCCTATGGTCACTGCTACCCCTTCACCCACCCAGAGACCTCACTCCCTAATCTCTCCTTCTAGTGAATCTGGGCTATCCCAGACACCTCTCCTGTGCCTCGCACAGGACTCAGCTAGGCTCTGGCCACTCCCATCTAACACCATCAGTCCACCCCGGAAGTAGCCTGCTGCTTAATCAGTTTGCACGATCGCTGGAGAAAGACCCCCAGGGGAGTGGTCCTTACCCTCATGGGGCACGCAGTACACCGGGCCTTCATCAGTGGTGTCAAAGGAGGAGAAGGAGGCCCTGGAGGACCAGGAAGGCGAGGGCTGCTCCAGCCCGGAAGGGGGCTCCAGAAAACTGCAGTTGAGTGTGTTATCGAGGTCGTGGTGGGCCACTGGGGGAGGAGTGAGGCATGGCTGCCGGCTGCAGGGGCCCACGCCTCCCCAACCCGGGCCCCTGGAAACAAGCCCTTAGCTGCTCGCTTGCCGCGATGACCTAGTCACCAGCAGCACCCCTGTCCTCAGACTGCGGTGACACAAGGCCAGGACGGCTAGCTGGGTCGGGGGAGACCACCGCAGGGTAAAAGACCAGGCAAGCAGGCAGCCAGGGTTCAGGAAGAGGTTGGGTGTGTGTGCAAAAGGATCTGACAGTGGTATTCCGAGCCCCTCTTGCCTTGTGGGACCCAGAAGGCCTTTGATCCCCTGCCAGCGGGCTGCACCCACCGGGTCTGGCCCCCAGGGATGCACAAGGCTGCATCCTGAGGCTGGCTGCTCCGTTCTCACTTTTAAAGGATTTTCTCTTATCTTTACCTCCCAGCAGGCCCCACCCCCAGCTTCTAAACTAAAACAAGCGGAAAAGAGAGTGTGAGACTAACGGTGGGTGTCAGAATAGACCAGTCCCTGGCTGGGGGGCAGGGGGTAGGGGGCAGTCAACCAGCCCCTTGGGAAGGGTTCCAGGCACTGCCAGGCTCCTGGCAGGAAGCCACTTCCTATGGGCACGCACACGTTACCCAGCAGCTACTCACGCACCGAGAGGAGCGGTGCACTCCGCAGTCCCAAGAGGACCTGCGCCGGGATCTCCGCCCGGGTCTCACCGTCGCACCCCCGCCCATTTTCCTGAAGCCTCCTGCTTCGGAAGGTGTTTCCCACCCAAGACATTGCCATCGGAGTCCTTACCTACGACCTTGGGCAGTTTCTGCCTCCGGAGTGGGATCCGGGGCAGCTTCATGCTGATGCGGCTGAAGCGCCCGCACAGCCTTTGCGGGGCTTTCTTCCTCCCCAGGGAGAGCTCCCTGCAGTGAGTCGGGATTAGGGTGGGGAGCAAGGAAAGGGCAGTTGGAGGTACTCCCGGGAACCGAGGGGGCGGGACCTGAGGCCAGGGAGGGGCGGGGCCTCACCGGCGGGCGGGGTCCTTGCCTCGGCAGGCGCAGCAGCAGCCCAGAAGCGAGAGCAGCAGGCCGAGCAGCAGGGCCAGCAGCGCGCCGGCACCCATCACACCCTTGCGCTGGTTGGTCTCTGCGGGGGGCAGGGGGGAAGGGTCAGCACGAGCGCTGCGTCACCCTTTCCCTCCCTCCGTGACGGGACGCTCCTCACCCAGGCGGCAGGCGCCGGTGACCGGGTCACAAGAGTCTTCGTGGCAGCTGCAGGCCTGCGCGCAGTCCACGCCGTGGAGCCCGGATGGACACGTCAAGTTGCAGCTGCGGGGACAGGGGGTCAGGGCGGGGTCTCCAGCTCTTATTTCCTAGGAGTGAACCCCAACCCCCCACTTCCCGGCACACAGTGCGGGCGGTCCGTTTTGAAATGGAACTTCTGGGTACTCCTAAAGCAGGCGAGGTATGGGGTCTCGGGCGTGGACCAAGAAGGCCCTCCTAGAGACGCCTCTTTCGCCAGCATAGCAGCCCCTGGAATCTCCCGTATTAGGCCCGCCGCCCCCAGGCTCCTCCGGGGACCAGGACACTCACTGGGGGCCGTGGACACCCGGGCTACACAGGCAGCGCCCGGACTGGAAGTCACAGTGTCCGTTGCCGCAGTCCGCGCACACGAAGGCGCAGTCCTCCCCGTAGGTGCCATTGCTGCACTTGGTCTCGCACCTTGGGAGGCGGAGAAGGGTGGGGGGGTGGAACCGTCAGTGGGGGCGGAGTCACACGGAGCCCCAGGGCCCCGGGCGGAGGGCCTTCACGGAGGGAGAGGGTGGGGGCTGCTCACCGGTCTCCGATCCAGCCCGCGTTGCAGCGCGTGCACTTGCCGGTGACGTGGTTGCAGGCGTGCCCGTCGCGGCACGGCGGGCAGCGCTGGCCGCAGCCCTCGCCGTAGAAGCCGACGGCGCACAGCTGGTCGCACTTGGTGCCGTTCCAGCCAGGCTCGCACGTCAAGCAGCGGCCCTCAGCCACCGTGCAGGGTTGCTGGCCTTTGCACTGGCCGCATCTGGGGGGAAGGGGCAGGGGGGAGGCCATGAACTGGGCTAGGCCCGCGCGTCGCCCTTCTTTCTCCCTCCCTCCCTCTCCCTCCCCAGCCCGGGGATTGCACTTACCGGCGGCGGCAGCCCAGGCCGTAGAAGCCCGCGGGACACGGCTCGCGGCAGTACTTGCCGCGGTAGCCGGGTTCGCAGGCGCACGTGCCGTCCACCGAGTTACAGCGACCGCGGAAGCACTGGCAGAAGCGCTCGCAGCGGGCGCCG